TATACTCTGGGCTCTTACTCGCACCAAAGGCCTTTGTGTTTTCTTGATAAATAATAATTGGCAACTGTAACTTCTCCTGATTAATGACTTGGCAGATGTGTCACTCACAGGACAGGGAGGATGTGCTCAGGAATCTCAAAGCACKTTGCAGTTTGGCTTGTGTATTCCTTGCACAAAGGGTCTGGGGCCAAGAACCCCCGCTTGTTCAGTGGGTGTGGTGTCAGTGTGGGTTRGGAGTGGCAACAGCTGTCCTGGGAGGCCACTAAACCCATTCTTTACTCAAGTGCTGCTCATRATAACAGCTTCTGTTGTAGTGAATCCCTCTGGTGGATTGCAGCGACCTCTCTGAGCACTGGTCAGGAGGAAATCTGCCCCCAGGGCACTTCCAGCGCTAATGAGGCAATGTCAGTTCTGAGCACAGTGTAACCTTCTGTTTTCTTCCTGCCCAGGATTAACCCTGTGCCTGGCACTTACCCCACCCAGAGCTACCACTGCCCTTCGCCCCTGGCTGTTCCAGCCTCCCACCACCCCGGTGCTCAGAGCCAGAGCTTTCATCACAGTTACACTCCAGGATATGGCCACKCTCTGGGACACCAGGGATCTCAGCAGGGCCGTGCTCCAGGACACAGCCTCAGTTCTTCCCACTGCCAAGCCAGAGGTGCCTTTGGAGAGTGTCCTGGGCAGGTCCATGCTGGAGCCTTGCCAGGACAGTGCTGCCAGCTGGGCAAATTCTCTGTCCCACAGCACATGTGCTCGGCTCATCCACAGCCAACTGCAGCCACGGGCATTCTGGCTGGTGTTCAGCAAGCACCAGGGGATCCAGCAGCTCCAGGGGCCYCTGTTCCAGCTGAATTTATCAGAGTCCAGGTGAACTGATCTTCCAGAGAGCAGCAGGAATTACGCARGGGCAGGACCATTGTGTGAGGCTTGCCCAGCAGTGCATTGCTGGCATCTTTGCTGTGSTGGAATGGGTTGGTAACTCCAATGAAGGTCTTTCCCTTGCTCCCTGGCACAGTCCACTTGAATTATATTTGCTTTATAATTTTTTTTACTTTTTGATTTTGCTGGAGGATGAGAACTGTRTCGCCTCTGTGAACTTCTCATCCTTTTGAAGTCTTTCTTTTTTGCTGCATGCAGCAGCTGCCTTTTGCCACTGGAATTCSAGTGCATCAGCTCCCCAAGCCAAGGTAGGGACCTCATTTGCAAAACACTGGATGAATGTGGGGTTTAACTAGGCTGCAGCAATAAGCACTCCCATTTATACTACTTTTATACAAGTGTGATGTAGCTAGGACCCAAAAAAGAGAGGGAATTGTAGGAGCCTTAATTTATAACTTAAGTGGAGGAAGACAGATGTCTGTTTTACTTGTGTCTTTTCCTCTAGGAGTGTGGCTTGAAGGGGGCTTGTTACACCAAGCTGGGGCAAGAGGATAGATACAAAACACTTTTTTCTGCCCCAAAACACAGCTTTAAAATGCTGAAGGTCCTTGTGAGCTGGAGTCTGAATGCATCAACACATTGCCTTCATCTTCTAAAGGCACCAGCTCAGCTWGTGTCACCAGCACTTGATAAGGCAACCTCAAATGCACATGAAGCAGTGGGAGAYTCTTCAATAAGGGATTTTGGCCCCTTGTGCTTCAAATGTTTGTTTWTAAATCCAAGGAGCTGGGAGGAACATTAACAGTGGGTCAGAAGAATTAACTGGAATGTAGCAGTGCTGCTGGGGGTGTTCACRCTGCTCAGCTTTAGAAATCTCACCCACCAATATTAGCACAAGCTCTSTCTGTTTTCTTCAGAGCTGGTGGGCAGGTGTGTGGGAGAGGGGAGTTTTCAGTGAGAGATTTGCAACAGGATGCACTGTTTGGTGCTTGTGCTATAATGAAGGAGTTCGGTGTAGTTGCTGGGATCTGAGCTTTATTCCCAGCTCTGTGGCCCATTGCACAGTGCCCAGGAGGAATCTGGTTTTTCTGTGTCTGTAAAACAGCCAGCATTTCAGCTGCTGCCCTTGACTCTATTCGGAGTTTTGTTGTGCTTGAGAAACTCCAGCTCCATGAAGCACAAAGTGTCATTCCTGCTTTTGAAGATGTTCCTGCTGTGCCTCACCTGTCCCCAGAAACTCAACAGCCCCGAGGCTCCTCCCTGCTCTCGGGGAGCYTGGCCAGGGGCAGCTCTGGCAGCTTCACGTTCCAAAGCATGTCCCTGCCTCTTTCATTTTGCCATCATCAGGGTGTGAAGAAGCCCCATGTTGCCATCCAGCTGCTTTATTTATTCAGCAGCCCCTCTGGACTGACTGCCACAGTCCCATGTGACATGCAGGGGCTTCCTTTTGGACAAGACYGAAGTGAATACTGAGAATTTACACCTCAGATAAATAAGACAGAAGTAAAAAGCTGTTCTTGCAAAGGTGTGCACCCCAGGCAGGGCTTTCAGCAATTTGGGAACCAACGTGGCCCCCAGCTCCACTGTGGGATCACAAGTAAACTCGATTTCATGGTCCTGTTTCTCCTTCTGACAACAATTGCATTGTTACATTTTTAGTGTGAAGCAAGAGCAGGATAAGGAGCTTGTTTGGAATTTAAAAGCATGTTTTTAATACCAGGAAAGAAATGCTAGAGATAACATTGAAATGTTGATACTCCACTCTCATTAGTGCCTTGATTTTCCTCCTTGTGAAATCCTTGCCTGTAAATCTAGGAATTTTATCACAGATTTTTCCAGAAGGGCGATAAGRATTGACAGCAATCACCAATGTTGTGTGTCTCCTAACTGTGAATTTGAAATAAATAAAATCTGAAAGACGGACTGCTGCGCCTCTGGGTCTGTTTATAAGCGGGGA